AAATCCCATGGGCTTTGGAGCCTGGCAGATCTGAGCTCCGATATTAACCATAATACTAATCAGCGGAACTACTGTGGGTCCATCATTTCCTTTCCCAAAACTCAGTTTCCTTACCTGCAAAATGAAGATGTTACCAGCTGCTTTGCAGCACCCAGGACAGTTCTGGGTAAGTACCCACTTCACTACCTGCCTCCAGGTCCACTAAGGAATACTTCAACCCTCTGCCTTTGGGACCCTAGAAACAATCCAACCTTTGATGCCATTTCTAATGGGCCTGGGTTCCAGGGAAGCCAGTGTGGTTCTACCAGCCAGGGCTCACCATCACAGCACCCCGTGGAAGTGAAAGATCCCATTCAGAGTTCCCTGCTCAGTCACACATACAACCTTGCACAAGTCAGCTGGCCTCTTAAAGCTGTTCACAGTTGTTCAAGTCCCGTCCCCTCATTCCTAATTTAGTAACAAAACTGAGGTGAATGTGTGCGCCCCTGACCTACCTCCCTGTCTGCAGCTGCAAGCACCCTTGTCTCCTCTCTTCCAGTCCTCGTCCCCCTCTTCAAACCTCCTCCTCCCCTGAATTACTTCATTTGGTGGCACATACACATGACCTCTAAGCCACTTCTTTCCATCTCTTGTACCTAAGAAAGCTCAGCCTCTCCAAGCCCAACTTGGCCTTTTCCCTCCAAATCATTCCTCTTCCTTCCGTTTCCCTGTTTCTGTTCATGGTGACATCAGTTTTGCATTGGGTTGTTCTGGACTGTTCTCTCTCCTGTGACCCTTTCCTCTGGCATAAATGTCTCTGATGGGAGGCTAGATCCACTCACCTCTGAGGTCCCTTCTAAACCTTCCTCCATCCAGCATAGATGGAGCGCCGACCATGTGCCAGGCACAGAGTAAGGCGCTGGTCATAGAAGATAAAGAGGCAGTCTCTGTCTTGACCCTCAAGTTCAGGCCATTACCCGGCTACCTCAGTACTGCAAAAGCCTCTTGACCAGTCCATCCACCCTTGTGTGTTCCCTAGGAAAACAATTTTCCAAGATCACCTCCTGACTGTGCCTAGAAACCCTCTATCACCAGACCCTGGCATGCTTTTCTAGATTTATCTCCAAATCCACCTTCAGGCCCTCTACCTGCCCGAACTGGTCCACTCAGGCTTCTGGTCCTCCTTGTGCCCTCCTCTCTTTTCACTTGGGCCACTGGCTGCACCTGGAAACTCCTGCCAACACCTCTCTGATCGCGATGACCAGTTTGGACACTGGTGCTTTCACCAAAACCAAAAAATGACCAACCATTTCTTTCCACACTCTCAGTGCTGCCACGATGTGAAGTTGTTGAATCTCACACACCTATGTCTTTCCTCCCCAACTCAGGTTGTAAGTTCCTTGAGGGGACAATTTCTTCCACTTCTCCCCATTCCCTGTGACAATGGATAAGCAGTTACGTTTTGTATTTTCAGACTATGAAAGTGTGATCATGGACTTGGCCTATATACATGGAGGCTCTAGGTTGAGTGGGGATGGATGAGGATTATGTAAGTGAGTTCCCCCAACACATAGAGATGCAGGCACCGCTTTCTGCCACCTCCCCGCTCACTGTCTGTATATGCACATGCACACTCTACTTGAGTGATCTGCTTTCCAGCTTATGTCCACATTCTAAACTGCTCCTTCTCTCACCTTCTGTTTTCCCTAGTGACCAACCAATGTCCGCCTACTGGCCACTCAGGCAGAGACCCAGAATCGTGTGTCTCTTGCTCATGTCCCATGCCTAAATACCCCCTGAGTCCTGTATCTTTTAGCTCCTAACTGCATGTCAAACCCACCCCCTTTAGTTCCCTGTCACCACAGCCCAGGGCCATATTCCTGATTTTTCTTATTTAAAGGAAAGGAATCACCTCATAACTGGTTTGCTAATCCCTCAGCATTATCCCCTCCAACTCTTCCTCCTGTGTATAGATCTGGCCGCTTTACTTTGCGGACTGAAACTGCCTTAATTGTCCCCCCGGCGTGGCCTGCTGGACGACAGCCAAGCCCTCTGCGCACCAGCTGCATGAGTTCTTTAGCCACTACTCACTTCACCTTTCTTGCCCCTCAAGTACCAGACCCCATGTGGTTCCACGAACAAACCTAAATGTTTCCACCTCTATACCTTTGCCAGTGCTGTTCCTGCATCCTGCAAAGACCTTCCCCTGGGTCTTTACCCGAATAACTCTTCCCCAGCACCCATGCTCACCTCCTTCAGGAAGCACTCCGTGATTTGTTAGTGTCCTGATTTTCAGTGCTTTCACATTAGCCACTTAACCATCAATGTACTCAACAGAGTGGGTCAAAACAATTTACGCACACGATGTAACCACCGCTGCTTACTCAGAGCCTCGCTCAGGACCTAGGACACAGCAGTGAAACAGGGACAGTTGCTTAAAGGAAGGAAGCAAGACTGAATTCCCTTCCTAGGCTGTCCCCCCAACCTCTGTCTCTGACCCAAAGCCTCAGGTCTGCCAGGCTGCATCACCACTGCCACCTATGGGCGAAGAGAGCAACTGCACTTTTCTCACCGTTCAGCATTTAATTTGATTCAACAAATTGAATGGATGGGGAGGACACGAATGAGGAACAGTTTATTCTGGTGTGACAGTCAGGCTTCAAATGGTGAATGAGCTCTGGTAGGGGCCACAGAGCAAGAGAAACAAATTTCCAGGTGGAGGAGAACAGCATTCCAGTTAGTGGGGGCAACAGGTAGAAAGAGGGTGGGAGTTTGCGCAGGTAAAATCAGAAAGGGTTTGGAAGGTGCAGGGCCCTGGCCGGTGTGGCTCAGCTGGTTGGAGCGTCATCCCATAAGAGAAAGGCTGCCGGCGGGGGCACATGCCTGGGTTGCAGCTTTGGTCCCTGGTCTGGGTGCAAACAGTATCTGGTCTGGGCAAGTATGGGAAGCAACCAATCAATGCTTCTCACTTGCATTGCTGTTTCCCTCTCTCTCTTCCTCTCTCTCTAAAAGGCAATGGGGAAAGAAAAGAAAAAAAGAATGTGCAAGATCTAGAATCTCAAACTTTAGCTTTTAAGCCACCTGAAGAGATTTTAAAAATTGTTTTGTGCTGCCCAAAGACTTTTAATCAGAAGTGACACGATCGGATTTGTGTTTCTGACAACTCTTGTTGGAGTGTGCAGAAAGGATAAAAATGGGAGGCAGGAGCGAGAGAAAGCAACAAAGTAGGCATCGGGAAGATGCTATTTTCATATTTCTCCTCTTGCTGCCCCAGGACTTCAGACACATCCAAACTGAAATTCTGCCCCATCAAAACCAGTGTTTTAATGTAAACATTATTTATGTCCACATTTTCAGATGTTCATATATTTTGGTCTCTTGGTGGGTCTTGAAGCTGCAGAGTTTTATAACAGATCCCAGCACAGGGCTCTGCACACAGAGATGCTCAATGACAACTGAATGGAATTCCTGAGGGTCCCCTGGACCCCTGTGATTATAAAATCAGTAAAACTCGGTGGTTAAGAGCAATAAGGACTCTGAGCCAGAGGGCCTGAGTTCACATCCTGCCTCGGCCACCTTATGATATGAGGCCAGTCGTATCAAATGATCTATCACTATAACAGCACCTACCTCAAGGACTGGAGATAAGTGTCTGTGAAGTGTCAATCATAAAATAAATCCTTACTAAATACTGCCAACACTTCATAACATTATTTATTCAGTGACTGCCACTCACAGGTCATGCACAATGCTAGGGGCTTCCCATACTCTTAAATCTCCACAGCAATATTCTCGTCAATCCTATTTTATAAGATAAGAAAGCTAAGGCCCCCACAGTTGAGTTTGTTCAAGGTCTTGGGAGCCTTATATCTTAAGGAGTCAGAGTAGGGGCTGGAGGAATCTTTAGTGGAAGATTATTTAGTCCAGTGGTGGTTCTCACACATGAGCGTGTGTGTGTGTGTGTGAGTGTGTGTGTGTCAGTGAGAGAGACAGAGACAGAAAGACTTTTGTCAATGTGAAGACATTTCTGATCTTCACAAGGGGTGGGGGAGGCAGGGATACTGCTGGCATCTAGTGGGTAGAGGCCAGGAATGCTATTCAACACTCGGACGATGTGCAGGGCAGCCGAAACCAAAAGCGATCGGACCCGAAATATCAGTAGTGCCAAGGCTGAGAAACTCTTCTCCAGAGTAATCATCCTCCCCATCTTCCCGCTTCTGGAGCACTGGCCATCTGGATCCCACATGACCACTTTGGGTAAGGGGGCTCTATTCCTCTAGCGACAGAGCAAGCAAAGTTCTTCCGCACCTGCTGGGTATCCAGTAGGTTTTAAACCCATTTTAACAAGCCTAGCAGCAAAGGACTCCAGAAAGGGAAGGAAGAGTGTCCATCCCCCATTGTTCAACTGCCTGCAGTTTGTCTTTTGAACACACACACACACACACACACACACACACACAATTTTACAAATCCAAATGTCCCCCGCCCCCAAAACAGCTTTGTTAGAGATGGCGTTCAAAAATTATGTTTTTCTAGAACTCCGATACGTACTGAAAGGTTTGCACACTTCTTAAAAGGACCTCACATCAGCCGCGATCTTCTGACAACGACCACAAAAGAATCTGCAGAATTTCCAGGGGACCGAGGCCCTGGGCCGTGACCTCTGAGCTTAAGGCGCTCACCCCACTACCTCGTCTCTAGCTTTGGTCTCCCGCCCCCGGATTCCCGGCTTCCAAGGCTACCCAGGCTCCGATCGTGGAGCCCGGTCATCAGGCGCGTGCCCACGCCGTGTCCCCCTCGCTCGCTCCTCGCGGCGGCCGAGGAATCCGACCCGGGGCCTGTCGCCGGCGCCCTTACCAGTCAGCTCCCGCCCGCCCGCCGCGGCCGCGCGCATCTCCTCCAGGCCAGTGCGGCCTGGGCCTCGGCCGGTGCAGGCCCGCGGCCGTCCGCGGCCCGGGCAGGCGAGCTCTGGCCTGCCCGCGGCCTACCCAGTTCAGCACTACCGAAGGCCTCCACCTCACCTGGACGCGGGCGGACGGGCCCGGGGCTGCTCCGAGGCGGGCGAGCGGCGGCGGTGCGGTGCTAACGGCTCCGCTCGGCCTCGGTAGCGGTGGCGGCGGCAACAGCTACAGCGACGGAGGCGGTGGCGGCGGCGGCAGCTCCTCCTCGGCGCGCACGACCCGCTCCGGCCCGCGGCCCGGACACGCCCCCCCCGGCGCGTGCACTCATTGGTCAGCGTTTGCCACGATACGCTTCCCATTGGCCGATGTGGCCGTCGCGGCGCCTCGGGCGTGTGGGGAGGCGGGACTTCCGCCCGGCGCTGCCTGCGAAGGGCTCTATGGCCGGCGAGACCCGGGCGGCCGGCGATGGCCGCGGAAGGGTCCAAATTGGGTCTGACTGACGGAAGCCGACTGACCTCGGTGATGGAAGAGCCATGCACGTTGTCAAGTGCATGCTATGTTCCCGCTCATGCCTATCCTGCTGCCTCTGTCACCGCCCTACAAGGTAGGAACGGGTCAGCGCGTCTGGGCTATGGGATAAGAACCCATGTTCGAATCCCGGCCCCAACTTTTCTGCACCACGGGCGGTTTGACCGGGGCCGATGTCACATCGTTTGGGCCTCAGTAACCTTACCTGATGTGGTGCGGAGGCGGGGTATGGGACGTGGTCAGCGTTCCAACAGTCTTGACTGTTAGAGCTCTGGGGTTCCTAGAAGCACAGCCTAACATTCATCCATTAAAATGTTGTGAAGCATCTACTATCTGCCTGTCACTGCATGGGCAGTGAACAGACAAAAATACCTGCCCTTATTGGGCTCACATTCTAGATCACTGCTCTCCAGTAAAAATAAGTGTAAGCAAGCCACAAATGTTGACCACATGCATAATTTAAAATTTCTAGTAGGCATGTTAAAGGAAAAAAGAAACAGATGATGTTAATTTTCATACTGTGTTCTATTTAACACAATTTATGTCCAAAACGTTATTTTAACGTGTAATCAATATAAAAAGTTATTAGAGCCTTCACATTATTATTATTCTTTTTTTTTTTTTTTTTTTTGCTTCACCCATCTTTGAACATAGCCCGTCTGAAGTTGGACTGGCTACTGCATTGGATCGTGCAGTGCTAGACGGGGAGGCAGAAAAGAAATCAAGGGGATTCCACATCAGGTGGTGAAAAGTGGTAAAAAGAAAAGTTAACTGAGGAAAGGGCACGGGGAATGTGGGAGTAGTAAATTGAAAGACAGTGGTCAGCAATGAGAAGATGGCATTTGCAGAAGGACTGGAAGGAGCTGAGAAGACTGAAGGATTACGCCAGGCATTATTTAGTGCAGTGTGGGTTCAGGAGAACTTTCTGTGATGATGGGCATGTGTTTTATCAGCACTAATTTAGTAGCTACTAGCTCCATGTAGCTTTTGGGCACTTGACATGTGACTGTTGCCACTAAAGAACTGAATTTTTAATATATTTAATTTTACTTAATTGAAATTTAAATAGTCACAATAGGGCCCGGGGCTTCCATAACAGACGATATAAATTTAGGAGAATGGGGGCAAGTGCTCTGAATTGAGCATGTACTATGTGCTTAATGCTTTATGTAGGTTCCCCTGTGTAATTTTTGAAATATCACTGTGAGAAGGCAGCAATAATCATTGTCACCATGAAGAATGAAGTCCTTCATTTATTGATCTATACTTTATTGTTGTCATTAATAGACTTTTTTAGATTCCTGGCTGGTGAGGTTCAGTGGATTGAGTGCTGGCCTGCCAACCAAACGGTTGCAGGTTCGATTTCCATCCAGGGCACAGGCCTGGGTTGCAGGCTGAGTCCCCAGTGGGGGCATGTGAGAGGCAACCACAAATTGATGTTTCCCTTCCCCCTTTCTAAAAATAAATAAATAAAATCTTTTTTTAAAGTAGACTATTTTTTAGAGCAGTTTTAGATTTACAGAAATATTGCAAAGAAGGTACAGAGTTATCATTTCCCCACACCAGTTTCCCCTATTATTATTACATCTTTTATTAGTATGATACATTTGTTTTAATTAATGAACCAGATTGATATGTTATTATTAACCAAAGTTCATACTTAATTTAATTTCCCTAATATCCTTTTTCTCTTCCAGAATTCCCATCCAAGATACCGTATTACATTTGGTTTTCCACCCCCGCTCCCTGTTTTTCTCTTCTTAAAAAAATATAATTGACATATAACATTGTATTAGTTTTAGGTGTGCAACATAATGATTTGATACATGTATATATTGCAAAATAATCACCACAACAAGTTTCATTAACATCAATCACCACACCTAGTTACAAATTTTTTTGTTCTTGTAATGAGAACTTTTAAGGTCTATTCTCTTATTTGTCCTGTCTCTTTAGGCTCTTCTTGGCTGTGGCAGATTCTGACTTGCTATGTTTTTGATGACCTTGGTGAGTTATTTTTTTAAGATTTTAATTATTCATTTTTAGAGCGAGGGAAAGGGAGGGAGAAAGAGAAGGAGAGAGACTTTTAGTCAAGATGGAGGGATAGGTAAACATGGCTCACTTCCTTGCACAACCACAGCAAAAATTACAAGACCATAAATACCACCCAGAATCATCAGAAAATCGAGCTGTATGGAAGTCCGACAACCAAGAAATTAAAGAAGCCACATTCATCTAGACAGGTATGAGGAGCGGAGATGTAGAACGGAAGGTCCCACAACCACATATGGTGGATAAAAATTGGGAGGGAGCCCTGGCTGGTGTGGCTCAGTGGATTGAATGCTGGCCTGCGAACCAGAGTTGCTGGTTCGATTCCTGGTCAGGGCACATGCTTGGGTTGCGGGCCAGGTTCCCCATAGAGGACACATGAGAGGCAACCACACATTGATGTTTCTCTCCCTCACTTCTCTCTCCTTCCCTGTTCTCTAAAAATAAATAAAATCTTTTTTTAAAAATTGGGAGGGATACCGCAGGAGGAAGGGATCGCAGCCCCCACCAGACCACCCAGCCCAGGGTTCCAGTGCCAGGAAGATAAGTCCCCATGACTTCTGGTTGTAAAACAATGAGGGTTGGGACAGTGGAAGAAACTGCAGGATTCTCAGGAGTTTCCTCTTAAAAGCAGCAGTCCCCAACCTTTTTGGAACCAGGGGCCAGTTTTGTGGAAGACAATTTTCCCACAAAGTGGGGTTGGGGGGAATTGTTTTGGAATGACTCAAGCACATTACATTCAAGCTTACCACCTGCTGTGAGGCTGGTTCCAACAGGCACTGACCAGTACCATGCCATGGCCCGGGGACTGGGGACCCCTGTCTTAAAGGGCCTGCAACGAATTTAGGATTTACGCAGATTTACTCCCTCTGGGCTTCAGCACCGAGGCAGCAGGCGCAAGGGCATCAGTGGCATATGGGGAGAAATTGAAATGTCTGGCATCAGGGTGAGTGCGAGGGCACAGCTTCCTCCCAGACAAAACTCCAGAGGCCAGGCAGTGGCACTGTCCCCTTTCTAAGCCCTCCCCCATGGAGCCACAGAACGGCCATAGCATATCAAGATTCCATCAACATGGTTCACATGGGTTTCCCTGCCCTGGCAATCACCTATGACTCCCATCCAACTAACTGGTGCAATTTCTACTACTTCTGCTACCAAGGGCCAGGATACTGGTGCAATTTCTACTTCTACTTACTGGTGTGATTTCTACTACTTCTACTACTAAGGGCCATGCTACGAAGACAGGGAATCAAAGCAGCTCTAACTAATACACAGAAACAAACACAATGAGGCTGCCAAATTGAGGAGATAAGATATATGGCCCAAATGAAAGTACAAAACAGAACTAAAGAAGAACTAAACAAAATGATGGTAAGCAATCTATCAGATGCATAGTTCAAAACACTGGTTATTAGGATGCTCAAGGAACTCATTGGGTACTTCTATAGCATCAAAAAGACCCAGGCAGAAATGAAGGTTACACTAAGTGAAAATACTGAAAAATTTACAGGGAACCAACAATGGCATGGATAAAGCTGAGAATCAAATCAATGATTTGGAACATAAGGAAGAAAAAGACATTCAATCAGAACAAGAAGAAAAAAGAATCCGAAAAAACAAGGATAGGCAAAGGTGGCTCTGGGACATTCAAATCTTAGGGGTGCTGGAAGGAGAAAAGAGAGTAAGAAATTGAAAATTTATTTGAAAAATTAATGAAAGAAAACTTCCCCAATTTAGTGAAGGAAATAGACATGCAAGTCCAGGAAGCACAAAGAGTCCCAAACAAGATGGACCAAAGAGGACCACACCAAGACACATAATTAAAATGCCAAAAGTTAAAGGGAGAATCTTAAAAGCAACAAGAGAATACCAGAGAGTTACCTACAAAGGAGTGCCTGTAAGACTGTCAGCTGATTTCTCTAAAGAAACTTTGTAGGCTAGAAGGGACTGGAAGAATTATTCAAAGTCATGAAAAGGAAGGACCTACAACCTAGATTACTCTATCCAGCAAAGCTATCATTTAGAAGGGAAGGGCAGATGAAGTGATTCCCAGAACAAGGTAAAGCTAAAGGAGTTCGTCATCACCAAGCCATTATTATAGGAAATGGTGAAGGAACTTATTTAAGAAAAAGAAGGTCAAAACTATGAACATTAAAATGGTAATAAAATCACAACTATCAACAATTGAATCTTAAAAGCAACTAAGCAAACAAAACAAACAGAATCATAGATATGGAGATCACATGGAGGATTATCAGCTGGGATGGGGAAGGAAGGGAAGGGGGGAATGAGTGGAAGGGTGCAAGGTTGGTAGGTACAAAATAGACAGGGAAATGTTAAGAACAATATAGGAAATGGGGTAGCCAAAGACGTTATACAAGTGACCCGTGGGCATGAACTAAGGGGAGGATTGCTGGAGGAAATGAGGGGTACTGGGTGGAGGGGGCAAAGGGGGAAAAATTGGGACAACTGTAATAGCATAATCAATAAACATTTTTTAAATATTTTTAGAGAGAGGAGAAAAGACAGAGAGAAACATCAGTGTGTGAGAGAAATATCAATCTCCCACACCCCCAACTGGGGACTTAGCCCACAACCCAGTCATGTGCCCCGACTGGGAATTGAACCAGCAACCTTTTAGTTCACAAGTTAGTGCTTCACCCACTGAGCCACACCAGCCATAGCAATAAAATATTTTTTTTTAGAAAGAAAGAGAGGAGG